AAATCAGAAGCAAGACAGATTTATCCAGAGTCCATATTTCCCTCTCATTGGCATTGATTTCTGTCCATGCCAGCAAAAAATTATTGGAAAAAGAAGAAAACAGAAGGCAAACACACACAGCACTGCAATTTGCTGTCCATTTATCCTTAATTATAGACACGAAACCGGATTCGATTCAGGCGATAAATACAGGCAGATATACGCAATATTTGAAACATAAGGATTCCACCAGCAGGCAGCAACAAGTCAGCAACAAAAAATCATTACCCATCTGCCTGGCCGAGTGGCTTTCCAGTCTGATTGGCACTTAATTTGCCATTCAATTCCTGCCACTTGATAAACGCTGTTTTGTTAAATGCAATTTTTTGTTGTTTTTTTAAAGCGAAAAACGTGTTAATTAACAGGCCGGCTAGGTATGCTAATGCAAATAAAAACTGAAATGCAGTTGCAAACGCCGCTAAAGGCATTGCTTATGGCTGCCTTTTGGGTTGAGTTACGCGCTCACGTAACGTAACGAGTGTGAATGGGCATCGTGAATGTCGATGGGTCTGCCAATGTGAGTGCGATTGCTATGGCGAGTGTGGCTGCAGGTGCTCGCTTGAGTGCACTCAAACACTTTTGCTGCTTGGGCGATTTCAATAACGCAGCGTTACATCGATTTAAAAAAGCAAAAAGGAAGAAGGGACGGTGAGATCCTGCCGAGTTGCGCTTTCGTTGTGCCGTAACCATTTACCCCCAGAGTTCGCCATGGTCAGATGGACAATTGATGCTCTCCGCTTGGCTGGTCCCGGCTGTTTAACCCTGCTGCCAGTGCATCTTTTGCACAGACAGAAAAAAAGCGATTATCAGTTCCACATTGTTGCAGTTGGTCGAATTACATAAATATCAACGAAATCCTGAAGTTATGATAATGGAGAACTGGGATTTTAAGTGTTTTTGATGTTGATTTTCCTTCAAATTTATTCACCAACTAAAAGTGAACTTTAAATACCTACATTTCAGTTCAGAAAACCTAATTTATTGAATCATTCGAAGATAGTTGCACTCATATTTTTTGCAACTCTCAAAGTATCGAACGAACGATATGTAAAAGTCATATTTTCCCTCTGTGTGTGTGTGGAAAAACGAATGTGAATGTGTGCCGATAAGTGCACACAATCCATTCGGTATTCAAATTACTTTAAATCGCATTTGTCTCGGGTGTGTGCCGAGGTACTCGTCCTTTCCTGCTGGCACGTCCGCTCCGCCGAGTTGCAGTTAAATTCAGGAGCGCTGCCAAATCAAATTTAGTAAAAGTCAGTAGAGTGTCTGGGTAAACACAGATATGTACACATAGTTCACACACATGTGTGTGTATGTGCGGGCCTGCAGTTGCAGATACTCTGTCACAGACAGGCGAACAGTTTGGTTTTCAATTAAATTTATGGCTGGTCAATGGCGGGGTGCCAAGAGGGGGCCGGTCATGGAGGGATTGTAAAGAGGGGGTTGTATGAAGAGGGGTTAGTTGGAGGACAGACCGACTTTAAGGGCTGAAAGCTAAAAGCCAAAAGCGAGGAACGAGCCGAGCAACGGCAAACTTCACTTCAGCGTGAAAGGACGAAAATCGATTAGATCCAAATCTTTTAATAAGTTTCATTTCCGTTTTGTGCTGCCTTTCGGTCGGGCGCTGTCTGTGGCTGTGGGGGGAGGAGGGAGGTGCCACCCCCAACCGAACCCCAATTCCCTGCAGGCACTCCCATTTGCATTGCTGCTGTCTATGAAGTGTCCTTGCCACCACCACCACCCCCCTTTAACTACGTGTATTAGGGTGCGATTTGGAAATTGCGGTTCAATTGAGTTTCGGGACTTGTCGATTTGCCGGCAGTCAAGTGGTTGCAAAGCAAATTAGGCCAAACGGAATAAAGCCACAATCCTGCGCGTCCCTCTGCCCACACAAACCCTCCGCCAGCTAGGCGCGATTTATGATTGACTTGTCGGCCAATCTGTATATATTGTCATCGATAATTCGATAGCGATTGTGATCCCTACTTGCCACCTCACGCCTGAATATTTCATGAGTCCTGCGTCGTGGTCCCGGGTCCTGTGTTTTCGAATTAAGGCATTAACGAATCGATTCCCCCGAAAGGCTAATTGCCCCAAGGCCCATTGGCCTGTCATGTGGGTAAGCCAAGGGCCGGGAGCACGGGGGAAATCCCCTTTCACAAGCCATTTGCTCAGCCGAAAACAAAAGGGATAATGATACGCACAGCAGGCTCCAGCCAGGATACCTGGTCAACGGTGAGCCAGACAGTGGCCAATAGCCTTTAGCCACACTTCAACAGAGCCAGTAAAGGTAGCATTAGTGTACAAATTGGTAATTACATTTTAGCTATTAAGGTTGTCCTTGCTATAATTTCCTTTGAATACTATTAATTAAGGCTTTAAGGTGTCAATTTAAACTGTTAGTTAAAATTGAAATTATTAGATACTAATAAGCTTATTATTGACAGTCTTTTGAGAAGGAAAAACATATTTCAATGTTTTTAAAAGCCATTTGATATTTAAATTGCAAAACCATGACTTCATAAATTATTTAATAATTTGATTAAGTTAGTTTTCAGTTTTCTAGTGACCCATTTCTCTCTCTGTAGCCTTGTTCTTGCTGCTCCCTTGTTCGGAACGCAGCCAACGGAAGCTCAGCTGGGGCTTTTGGCCACGTTTGCCTTTGAACGCCTTCGCCGTGTCTTTTCTTTCCGCCGGATTAATTGGCAGCGATGTGACACACACAGACACCCACACACACACGCAGACGTACACACTCATGTCCTGCCACGTATGCCGCGTCATCAAATCATTCACACACCGGCCGAAAGTAGGCAGCACTATTTTTACTTTCACCGCAACTTTACGAGCACTTCAAGTTTTATGGCAGTTTTTCATTACTTTTTCCACTAAAGGTGGCCGCCACCCCCTCCCGCATGAATGATGTGGCTCACTGGCGAATTCTGGTTTCGCTTTCGCTTTTTGTTGCAATTCGATTCGGTTTTCATTTCAGCAAATTAGACTTCGCACTTTTTGCCCAGACACTGCGATAGCTTTTGGCACATTAACGACATAAGCAGTGAGTGACAGGCCGGCGAAGCCAGGACACGCGAGGATAACAGTTGTCCTTTTGTTGGCTCGACTTTAATGCGACTTAAATGCGGCTCTGCGGAGTCTCCGATTTCTCTGCCTTCGGGGCGCTTTAAAGGACCCTCCCACATTGCAAACTAATTACATGTTTAGATGTCCCGAAGGACGAGCGAAGGGGAGGAGGGGTGTGTGTGTCAAAGAGCAATTAAAAATAATCGATATGCAACACCGCCAGAGGGACTCAAAGTCAACCCCCTCCAACCCCATGGACAATTAAATTTAGAGGCAAAAAACCCCTCCCCAAGCGACCGAAAACGATAACAATTTTTCACAAAGGATTAGAGCTGTCGACAACACGTCGGCACTTGGCTATTTTTGCAGCTCCCTGGCATAGTTGGCGTTGTTGTCCCGCAAATTACATTTCCCCATGGCCACTGGTAGTACTGCTCCAAACCGCAGCGCCAACTGTTTGTTTAATTAAATTGCAAAAAGCAAGCTGAAACAGAAATGCTTCTCTATTTCCGCTTCCCAGAACCCAATTCCAGTCCCGTTCCCAGCACAGCTTCCCCTTCCTTTTCGGATGCCGCAAGTTATGGACGTTGAGCTGACCATCCTGCCGCAGTCATTTGTATTAATTGAATAAGAATTACGCTTTAATCCGATATAGACAATATATATATAGAGACGTTGCCCGCTCGACCAGGCCAAATGGCAGACATTTTGTCGGCACTTCATTTTATATCCTGCACATTTTATTTCCACGCGCAGGAGTGCTCCGTTTTTGTGTGCTTTTATATCGCATTTCCTTTGAAATTACGCCACCGCATATATGCACTGTGAGAAAATTTAAAATTTTATAGTTTAATATAAAATATAGAAGTGCAATATGGCTCCAGTCTATGTATATTTTCATTTATTTATATGAACAACTCTTGGATAAGTAAAACCCATTGTATGACACCAAAAAGAGTTTCTAAATTGTTCGAAAACTGTCCAATTTTTTTTCCCCAGTGTACTTAATGGCAGTCCCAGGGCAATGAGGCAGCAATTGTTATTGAATCCGTCTACATAAACACAGGAGGAAGCCCGGTAGGTTGGCATCGCCTCGTGTAAGAAGAGCTCTTGTAGGTAGTAGCTTCCCGTGTGTCTGTGTGTATGCTTTGTTACGAAAAAAAGAAAACTCAAAGAATAGGAAATTTGTCTATAAATAGACCGGCATTTGAAATTCAAGTCTGTCGCTGAAATGTCACCTGCCGGCCGGCCCCCTAATTAGCCTTAACGACAGCACATATTTTATATTTTATCAATCCCTAACCTATCCCCCGAGGGCCATTTGCCTGGGAAAACTGTAAATTGTTTTCAATACTCAAAATTATTATTATATTATTAAATTATTCATGAGTGTGGGGGCCGGTTGCCATCTGCCCGAGGCCACTTAAAATATGAAATATGACAGAAACATGCGAGATAGAAATCAGAGTCGTTCTCGTTGTCGTCCTCGCCGCCAAAGGAGGGCAAGAAAAAGCAAGGCACATGACAGGATCCTTCTGGCCTCTGGCAGCAATACACGAAAGGTTAAGGGGGGGAAGCAGACGCTTCTGAGTGGCCGGGATGTGGCAGGGAAAGAACCAGCTGCCTTGAAAGATAATCGCCTTTAAAGTTTCACGTTAAAGCTGTCACTGTTCATGGTTAAGTGACTGCCGGAGACATTTCAGTTGGGCTTTCTCCATATTCATTCGCAATTGCTGCAGGCAAACTTTCAGCGAATCACAGCTGGACTTAATTCACTGAATTCCAAACTGATTTATAAGAAAAGGGATATATAAATGTGAGTTTTATATATAAGTATTTCTAAGAATAAAACACTAAAACTAAGGCTTAAGTTAGAGGGGTTTTCTAAGTACGACTTAAACTATCTGCTGCGGAGCGCTGTCGCTGGCAGATACTTTGTAAGAGGAGCTGCCAGACCCTGAGCCTGCTGCTGATCCTGTCCAGCAACAGCGGCGGTTGCTGGTGCCGAGCTGAAGTCCAGGACAGGGGCCACACCCTCATCGGAGCTGCGCGAGCTTCCACCCAAAGCGTCAAACTGCTGCTGGATGAGCTGCTGGGCTCGCACCGCGTCCTCGGGTGTGCGATACTTGACAAAGTGCACCTCCGGCTTGTGGTTTTGGGTCTGGGCCTGCTGTTCGCTCTGAATCCTCTGGGCCAGCTGGGCCACATCAGCCTGCTTGCTGAGGACATAGATGGCGGTGCGCTGCTCACTGGCCTGCTTGGCCAGCTGGAGGGCTGCATTGGCCAGGCCCTGGTGCTCCGGCGACTTGATGAAGAGAACCCGCAGGTTACGCTTCAGCATACTGGCAATGTGCTCCGTGGACTCGTGGTCGGCGAACTCCTCCTCCGGGGCAGAGTACGTGAAGAACTCCTTACTGAACTCATCCACAGCTGCCGGTGTTTGTTGTTGCGGCTCAGGCTGCAACAGTTGCTGCTGCGTCTGTTGGTGCTGCGTCTGTTGATGCTGCGAGGAAGTGGAACTAAATCCTGTGGCCTCTTCATCGATGAGTCCAGCAAAACGGCGATCGCCTGCCGCAGCCCGGTAATTGTAACCCAATTTGGCCGCCGAAACGGAGACTAAGAAACAAATTAACTGGAAAAGAAAGATACGTTTTTAATAAGACTCCAAAACCTTAAATTTTTTTATAATTTTGCTTTAATAATTTAAGATTAATAATCAGAGATGGTAAATATTTAAATTATATTTTCATTTCCGCAGTTTAAGATCCAATTATAAAATTAACTGTTTAACTTTTGTTTTAAACAATTTTTACTGTCACACATATACACTAGGACTCTGTTGATTGTTGTGTAATAAAATTTACACTGTCTTCACACTTGTTTCTTATAACTTTCTATACCACTCACCAGAAATCCACGCATCTTGAGCAGGATTAGGTGATGTCTAGGTGCTGAGGATCTGTTTACCACGCTTTTCACTTGCTAACTGGCATTTGCCTTGTGCATTTCGCTGATATTTATACAAGCTATAGCCGGCAGCTCGAAAGGGGAAATTCGAAATATGACAAATGATGGGCCTGCAAGGGGGCAGCGTTGTTTGAGCCAAGCTGGCTATCGGGATCGGGATCGCATCGGTTTCCGTTTCATCTTCGGTGCTGCAACACACTGGCTGGCAATAGGTAATCGGAGATAAATGAGCTTTTAAGCGCCGTCTCGGCTTACGGCGGTTTACAGTGGGTTACGGGTTCGAGCAACCTGTTTTGGCGACATGCAACCTTAGGGCGTTGCTTGTCTTACATAAATCTGCGGAACTACTCGTGTTTTTGGGCGGGCGAACATCAAAAGCCGCTTTCTGCCACTCTGCCACTTTCTGCCACAACGACGACTGTGCAAAATGTGCATAATTAATTAATTAGCCGACGGATTGCGATTTGCATTTTCTGCGGCAGCGCTCAGTTACCAGAGCTCATCATCCGCTCAATCAATAACTTCAGTCATCGCCGGAGCATCAGCAGCAACAGTTTAGGGAGTGTTTATACATATAGTTTTGTGGCCAAAGAGAGGCAAGCTTAATGTCACTAGTTGTCAGGGGAAGTGTACATATCTTTGTCATAATAATGCAAAATATATTTTAAATAAATTTTAAAATAATCTCTTAAGAAGTTTTTCTTGTATAATTAGCCAAATTATGATATATTAAATCTTAAATTTTGTGTTAAGTAGTGAAAAAGAATACTCTCTGGCTGGCTATGGCTGACTCTGCCTTCTGTAATCTTCACACATTGTCTCTGTTTACCCGGGCAATGGTTTCCTTGCTGCCAGACAACAACATATGCCTTCAATTAGGTATAAACGGTGCCTTGGAGACGCACACAGCAGACCACAAATGGACAGCATTGCATAAACAATATTTAACAATAAATAGAAGACGCTCAGACGGACGTACGGTGAACACACAGATACAGCTCACTTCCTTGGAGAGAGCAGTTACTGGACCAGTTAATTGTTCTGATTGTTATCCATAAATCTCGAGTGTGTTTATGTGTGTGTCTGTGGGATTGTGTGGTCGATGTGGAAGAGGCGCTCTAATTGATAAGGCGGTTTGGCCAACCTATAAAGCAACCAATTGAATTCATCATAAACTAGTTAGTATTAGCACTGGGGAAAAAATGTATTAAATAAGATTATATTATAAAATATTTAAGGAAAATATAATCACAGATAAAATAGTAATAGTAAGGTACATTTCCTTGATTATTTTAAGACAGAGATAATCAGGCTATAGGGGAATATAGTACGTAATTATGTAGTGATATTCCTTATAATTTTTCTAAGTAGAGTTCAAGCTCTTTTCCTTTCAGTGCACACCATTGTGTTGCTCAGATTTATAGGCCTAAATCACCAGAACATTCCATCAGACAGGCCGGCATGGCTGTTGGCCAACAGCAACAGGCTTTTTGGCCAGGCCCGAACAATACCCATTTATGCGCATAATGAGGAGTCATACATCAGGAATGACTGCGGGGCTACAGCTGCCGACGGCTGCTCATCAGCCAGTGATGGAAATGGAGACGGAGCAGGAGTAGGATCCTGAGCCGTAGCTGGAGCCAGAGTGACGTCCGAATGGCCAGTGGCCAGCATTTACATTTATAAATATGCATAATTTGTTAGGGGCCAAATGAAATCCTGAAACGGCCTCCAGGGGGACTCCAGCCAAGGTGCCCTCCTAATTTAATCATTTTGCCCATTGGCACCGGGCGAATTCATTTAATTTGTTGCCAGGAAGGACTGCTCCTCCTGCTCCACCTCCTCTGTAACTTACAAGGAGGCTTTTCCACCTAAGAGCCGGCAAAACCTATCAGCCTATTGACAGTGACACCAGCAAAAAGCTGCGTGTCCAAAAGTAAATAGTAAATACACTGTCCCCGGGCCAAGGGAAGGTATCAGTTCGTTGTTGGGATTCCTGCTGATGGCCGTTGTTCTGGTGATGTGCCCTATGCCCTGCCTCCCCCCACCTTGTTTACTGTTTATCTTTGCACAGAAGATAAACAAAACTAAGGCCAAACAATGACAGTAACAATTTGGCAACGTCAAAAGTCGGTGGTGGGATGATGATAAGATTTATTTATAGGACCAATCGCAGTGATTGGCTCGGGACTCAGGCATGGAGTGGTGGGTGTCTTTGTTAATTAAAATTTTGTAGGGCACGTGGGCCAGGGACTTAGGGCCATAAATCATGACATCAACAGCAGCAGGCCGGGGGGCGGGCCAAGAACAATTACAGTCAGATAATCAGGGCCATTATGTGGGGCGCCAAAAACACAAATCATGACAGCATTAAAGGTAACAGATCGGGCCGTATCTGAGTGGTCAAAGGTCAGGACGGAGGACTGTTATTACCCACTGTTAGGGGCTGGCCAGAACTCTGAGTATATCGAGTCCGAGCGTTGCTCAATTAAAGAGCAATTACCAAATATTAGTTAATGGCCGGCAATTGACATTTGTGTCTGGCCCAGAGCGATTTGCTCTACCAATTTCGCATGGCCCGGCTTGCGCCATGCCCCCAAAGAAAGAAAGAAAACAACAACAAAAAAACAGAGCTCCAGCTCCCGGGGCATTAATATTAATGAACTGCTCACACACGCGACCCCGGGCAGTTCATTAAAGTGTCAAACACTTTGTCCCGCAGACATGTCCGAAGACCCAAAGAAGAAAGTGGCCCGAAAGCAACCGCAACGGCCAAAAAACCTGTTGCTATTCCCGCTTCTCTTCCCTCTCTTGGAAGCTGCTCTCGACGAAGCTTTTGCTGGGGAAGACCCCGCCCAGCTGACCTGACCCAAAAAGCAGGAAGGCGGGCGGTCTGTCACGATTAATGTGTCATAAATCAAAAACTTGTTACCATGTAAAAAAACATAACATATTTTTGCATATTGACCGGGCGGGCATGTAACCAAATAGCTCCCCAGTTACATTTTTTCCATCGACAATCGCCCTTGGTCATCCTCGCAACGCGTTGGCCATCCATCGATGAGCACATGATATCGCCAGTTGCGCCTGCTAATTATGATTGATGGATGGGTGAGGGTCTGCATTTAGGGTAAGGTTAAGTGAGAAACAGTTCCCAGAATTTAGTTAGTGAAACTACAAGCCAGAAAGTTAAAATTAGAGATAAAAGAAGCTAAACACAAATATTTAAATACAAAATGTTATTGTATAAACTTAAACTACAAATATTTCTGGAAATAATTGAAATATTTGTTAAGTACTTCTCTTTAAAAAGTTATCTCTCCGAATTTCCGGGTAAATTTTCTTATTATTTCGCTCTAGTTTAACAGAAAATAACAGAACTTTTTGAAAAATTAAACTAATTGTCAGCTTTTGCTGCCAAATGATATGCAATATTTGACAGGCCATGTTAATGGGGCAGCGAAAATAATGCTTTCAATTGTTTCTTTTCTTTTTTTTAAGGAAAACTCCTTGGACTTGGCCCGAAACATTGTGGCCACGTTAGTGCGCGGCCCTGTCTCGGACGCTAAAAACAATTAGTATGACAATTTATCATATGCCCGCAGCCCAGATGATTTATGAAGGCCTAAAAACACAACACGTAGCCGACACGTTGCGTACAGCAGTATGTATACGCCGTGGTGTGCCTCTTCTTGTGCTTGTATTTATTTGCCTTTGGGGGTGCGTCACATGTTTGCCCATTTCCTTCCTTCCTGTACCGCCGCCACCGTCGCCTTTGTGCTATGCAATTTCTAGTTAATAAATATTTCCGGCTTCAAACAAACGGAACAACAAATGGTTGGCAGGACACGCCCGGACACAGGACAAGGCTGATACTGCCGGCGACTTCTAGCCGGATATCGCGCAATTAGTTGAGTCAACAATTAAAACTGTTGCCCTTTTTGCATAACGCTCCGAATTTAGCTTCGGCCATTATTAGACTGTGAGTGAGTATGTGCTGGTGGTAGAAATCTATAAATCACTAGCAATTAAAACAGATACGAATGGCCATAGTTTCGGAACATGTATTACGTCATAAGCAATATCTTTTTTGCCATACCAAAGACAGGAAGGACAGTAATCCGAATCCCTTTGCCCTGCACGTCCTGCAGCACAGCACATGCTCATTCTGGCATATTAATTGGCTTTCATTAATTATATTTTGAAAGTGTGTCCGGGACGTGGCTAAAATAGTGTTCCATAATTAATTGATGTGGATAATATTAAGGAAACGTATATAAAGAGTGGTCAATAAATTCTCAGCCAGAGACCAATGGCACAAAGCTCCAGGGTATATCTATCTTCCTTTTTGGAAATTTAAGGAAAGCTTAAAAAGCTCGCAGGAAGTTTGTTGTAAAAGTTCTGAGTTATCCTTGACACAAGCATGGGATGTAAAAGTTTGCATGGAGCTTTGAAAGCTTAGTTAATACACTCAAAAAAATATTCATTCAATTTAAAATTGTTTAGAAATAAATATAAGATTGCTAAAATGGAATTAATGAATCAGTCTAACCCGATTTAACCCATATTACGACCTCCAATAGAACATAAAACATCGAATAAAAATCCTTAAAAAATCCCAATATTAGGATTTTGATTTTGTAACTTCCCACCGCACCAAAAACACTTGTAATCCGTTTTTTCTTAACTTTTATTTACAAAATTAAATTCTCTTTCTGTTCAATTACATGGAAATGACAAAACCGCACCAAAAGACGAAAGCATATGGAACGCCATGGGAACTCATTGAATATGCAATCAAAAATCGGTGTTTGATCTTGTGTAGATATCCATATTCCTATGGTGATCTGAGTGTTCTGGGTGTAACTCTACGGTGTGCTACTCGGGTTTTCTGTGTGTTCGGCTTTGTATCTACAACATCAAAGATCAACTTAACATCCACATAAGATACTCTTGCGTTTATTTTCGTGGTATATAATATATCTGTATCATACATTAATGCATATATAGTTGAATATTCGGTGTATGTATATAATGGTTATGCCACAGTTGCTGCCCGCATCTCTTCGTGTGGTTTTCGATTAATAATTACACATGTATGTACTCATATATGGTTCCGTATATATGTATATATATTTTTTTATATTCATTCCTCGGCACATTATCGATAAACTTTAACAATGCGCTCTATCTCAGTTATTAGACTAGGTAAAACGATCTGTATCTGTATCTGTATCTGTATCTGACGCTACATGCTAGACTCTAGGCTCTCTGCTCACCGTTCAAAGGTTCAGCACTTGTACTTTAACATTTGTTTATGTTTTACCTAACACTCGCTCTGCTTGTGATCCTTGTTCTCATACTGTAAATGTTACTATGTTCTGTTTTTTTTTTTTTTTGGCCCCCGAAAGAAACTGAAAGGAAAACGATGTATGTAAATGCGTTTATCGAAACAAATGCAGAATCCAGCTTGCAACCAAAGAGAAGCGACAAACTTGTTCCGCGTTCTGGGATTAACATTTTATGTTCTTGCTAAGTATCCTTTAAGTAGGTATATTCGTGTATATCAATATATATTTATATTTATGTTATGGAAAACAAAAGACGTAGCTTTAAAATACGTGTAAATACTTTGTTTAGTTTGTATTTTATACTAGATCGATTTAGGAGTCTAACGGCATAGGACGCTGTTAAAGATAGGGTATGTATACATATAGATATTACACATTTACATAGGGTTTTTCCTGGTTTCATTATCATCGTTTTGATTCATTTTTCTAGTTGTTTTTCATTTCATTTGTTTTACATTTAGCCCCTCTTTCATATACCTGCTATACCTGTTTCTCATGGTTCATATTTAGTGGTTTTTCTTTGATATTCACTACAGAGTTTGCTGGGGCAGGCTTTGGTGTTGAGTTTGGGGTATATTCTTCTTCCTCTTCTACTGTGGTAAATGTGCGCTTTGCAATTTCCAGAATTACTCGTAAAAGTTGAAAATTATTTAAATAAATGTTTAACGGCATATGGCACCCTGGGCGCTAGCTCACCAAACTAAGTTAATCAATTACACATAAGTAAAGTGAACTTTCAGTTCCAAAGATTCAACACAAAATACTAAACAGATTAGAAAGTTAAGCTAAGAAAGGAAAAATGCAGGCAAATCATTGGTTTAATCTCAATCAATCCTATTCCAAAATAAAACACAGCCAGCACTTTTATTTGAACCTCACACTAAACTCGTTGATAAAACGCCAAGCTGCCTAATGGACGTCGCTACGCGGATGTTTATCTGGACCTGACCCTCCTCCTGACTCCTCCTTCTGGCTTGCTCTGCCTCCCCTCTCTACTTCATTTTCTTGTCCTCGTGCGCCTTCTTCACAATGGCCAGCTTAGAGTGAGGCGAGGATGGGTGCAGGGTGCGGTAGGGCGCCTCCTTGGTGCCATGGAGCACCAGAGACCATTCCAGCAGACTGCCATGTCGGGTTTGTGGAGAATTAAAGCGAGCCTGGGGGATAAGACATTGGTTAACATTTTATTTATAATAAAGAGCATTTTAATAATACCTCCAATTTCCAGGTGCCCTGCGGATACTCGCCCCAGGAGTGGGTGGTCATGAAGGGCCACTTGGTGAAGCCATCGCGATGGTCATCGTCATTGGCGCGCCTCGATAGGATCATGGATCTGTGAAAGTAATTAATTATGAATTATTTGTAAGCTTTCAATTTCATAAATTAATATTTTAGTAGAATACAAACAAATTTTAGAAAAGGAATAGGCTTTAAAAATAAAATCTTTTGAAACCTTTTTAATTTCAGAAATGAGTAATCTTTTAAACTTAAGAGGCTTCTGTATCAGAATTTATAATTTCTCCACTCACTTGGTGCCCATGGGCGATGTCAGAAACAGTTCCAGATCTCCACGTCGTGAGGCATTCGCCGATATCACCGCCTGGACATGCTCCAAGTAGTTGACCTCCGTGTCAGTGCCCTTGCAGGCATCGGTCTTGATCTCCCAAAACAGCGATCGGCCCATGATGATAGCTCTAAGAATTATTATATAAGGATTTTGTTCCATTTAGAGAGAATCTATTCCCGGTATAAACTCACTGTGGCTGCGTTAGCTCTCCTGCCTCGCAGTGGTAACGCGGAGGCACTGCATGCCATTGCTTGGATAGCGTGACCATGGCTCCCGCGTCCAACACGCCGAATCCGAAGAGGTGATTGAACTCTAGGCCCACGCCGTTCATTGTCCAGTGGAAGCGGTTCTTGGCATCGAACAGAGAGTTGCGCTTCGAAGTCAGCACCGTCAGATGCTGGATGTCGCGCCAAGTCAGCTGAGGACTGCAAAAAATATGCGTGGGTTGGCAATGGATTAGCATAAATTCATAAAGTGTCAAGAAAAATGCAGACGGAAAAATACCAAGGTGAAGAAAATAGAAATATATATTTGAACAACCAACTTTTTGGCAAAAACAAATAAAATAAAAAGAATAAGTTAAAGTAATAAAAGGAAGTTTTGAAATAGTAATACGTTTCACCATTTTCTTCTAGGATTTTCTCTTATTATTTTAAAAGTATATCAATTCCGCTGTGCAAATTGAGTTAGCTTCGTCAGTTTTGGGTACTTACTTGGCCTCCAAGGCCAGGGCAAAGACACCCGCTGCTTCGGGCGCCGCCGCACTAGTGCCCGAGTGGGTGGTCGTGCACTTGCCGTAGAGGTCCGTGGTGGCAACGCCCGTATTGGGGTCCTTGGCACCGTTGCTGAACGTAGACGCCAGCGTGGAGCTGCAGCTCTCGTCGTAGTGAGCATTCTGGCCATCGTTGATGGCGCTGTTGATGGAAATGGTCCACATGGAGGCGGCATAGCCATCGCAGTTGCAGTCGTCCTCCTCGCCGCCATCGCCAGAGGCCCAGACGTAGATGTTGCCCAGGCCATTGCGACCCTGCGGGGGTTGGCAAAGATTAGCAGTAAATTCGGAAATATAGAGGGACTCCTCATACCTCATTGACGCCCTGGACTATCGCCCGCATGGTGGCATTGCGCGGACCATCCACCGTCTTGCCGTCGTCCGTGGGACCCCAGGAGGCGCTGTAGATGTGGATCTTGTGAGGCTCATGGCCCATGGAGTTGGCCTCGATTAGGTCCGTCATGTAGGGCTGATCCAGCATGCGGATGCCTGCGGCGAAAGCGAGGGTAAGTACATATGCATTAAATCTAATGGCGGAAATTATAAATCAATATTTATACGAGCACAAGTCACTTTTACTCGTCGTCGCTTTATGGCAATCGTAAAAATTGCACTGCACTCGTGGCAGTTCGAAATTTTCCCCGATTTTTCACATGATTTTCCCTCCCTGACGGACGATAAAAATGACAGATAACACGACCGGATTTGTGACCACACTTGTTGTCCCCGGACGCCTCTTCCCCGGGGATAGCCCAAGGTTTCCATAGCTTGTCGAGGCTCAATTTACAATGGCGGCACGCGCTCCATGAATTTTTCATTTAAGAAAGGCACATACTCGACGTTTACATAGCTATGTAGCTTGGCGAATTGATTCACCCCCTTTCGGCGGATTACGCTGCGTATGCGTAATGCGATTTATCAGCCCAACAAAACTTTCGAGGTCAGGTCCTCGAAGACGTGTTCGCGCTGCTTAGGTGCGTGCGTGTATACACAGCGTAGGACTCTCATCCCGCCCAAAAGCCACTTACCTGCGATTTTGCTGTCATAAGCAACGCCAACGCCGCAAATTCCATTATCTCTGGCAGCAGCCACTTCGCCGGCACAGCGAGTTCCATGGCTGCAAAATATATAGTAGAAACAGGGGTTACATATTTACGGGAGAATTTGCGGATAAGCAGCTTAATAAAAAGTCCTCTCTCTATCCATTATGCAGTGCATATTAAAAGCTACCAGGCGGAAGGGGAAAGGGGTAAGGAAAATCCCATGTTTCAACACAAAATTGCACTTAAGTTCTCAGTTCACTATACCGCTCTTAATTAGTGAATTCGTAGCGAGGTCAACTCCAAACCTCGCATGATGTAATCCTTACGGCATAAACAAATCAACTTATGTGTACAATAAATACCAGGTGGCTATCAAGGACGTTTCCCTAGAACGCTGGCCAATCAATGGGTTTTCCATTTCCCTCTTGCTTTTTCTTACTTTCCTTTTTCCCTTGCTTTCCCTTACTTTCCCCACTTTCACTTACCTGTTGAACCAGTCGTCGGTGTAACGGGGATACGGAAAGGGATCGTTGCTGCTGAAGTCATAACTGGCCTCGGCATTCTGGAAAAAAATAAAGGAAACCGGAATGAGATTCGGCTACACGTGTGGCAAAGTACGTTTCGATGTTGCCTGCGGGCCAAGTCACCCATAAAAATTATTCAATTCATACTGTAATTTCGGTTGTAACTGGGCTAGGTCCCTGGGCTAGCTGCTCTACCTGCTACGGTTGGTTAAATATGCATGGCAGACACTTTGACAATAATGATGGTGGAAAGTTTTAATGACGAGAAAAGTTGAAGCTTTCAGCTTCAATTTCCTACCAACTTTTTTGTGCACATTAAGGCTTCATCAGTCTTTTGACGAGCTGTTTTGACGCAAAATCGATTGTTTGGAGTATACACAAATATATAATTTAAGTACGCAAAAACAAATAAGGCTAGATTGTGATTTAATATCCTCTGATAGCAATGTTTATTTCTAACTAATAATTTGTTTAAAATCATATGAAATGAAGGAAGCTCTGTTAATATTACAAATCTTATTTATTAATCCATATTGACTTTAGGATATTGATTTCTGCATTTGTAGCCAATGAATTTCAGTAAACCGAAAATTAAATTAAGGCCTTTGGCAATTTCAATGCCATGATACCTGTTTGAATAATTGAACAGGCTTTAACCACCGGCGTAAATAAACTGAATGCTTGCAAATGGGCTTTTCAGACTCACATAATTAAATTTCAGATCCGGATGCATGTAGTCCACGCCTTTTGGGTGCCCGTGGATAAATAAATGAAATAAAAGTGAAAAGTTAATAAAACAGTAGATGGGATTTTTATTTGCCATTCCGGAAATACGTACCATCATCCATAATGGCCGTGGTAACATTTTTGCCGGTGATACCCTGGGCCCAGGCGGCCTGCACATTGAGATCGAGACGCACCTTGCCGCCGTTCTGGCCGGTGTTCTTGAGGTACCACTGCATGGGGAAGTACGGGTCGGTGGGCTCCTCCTCAATCCGGTTGGCCTCGCCCGCCTTCAGGTCGAACTTCATGCCATGGATGGCGGGCACAGCTGGCCGGAGACCTCGCTTAACCCGCTTGAAGCCAGGCTGCTGCACGGCCGTATGTACCTGTGTGAATTTGGGGATAATATTTAATTAATGCCAAGGTTGAAGTGGAACATGGTGTTGTCTTTCGAGAAAATGCTGGTTTTGTATAATAATCGTTGGCTATACTTAATTTAGATATTTATTGTGATTTATCTACTCTATAGTTTTTGTCAGCTCAAAATTTCAAGTAGGTCGTTATCTCTATGAACAACTTGAATCCCATCTGTCACTAAGGCCCTTGTAAGTCCGTTGTATGCGGGTCATTGTTATGCGTGTGTGCCAATCCGAATCGAGAGCAGAGCCCCTCTGAGCTGGGCAAACAGCTGTGAACGGAAAGGAAACGACCTAGTTTGCATGCCAATTTCCATACTGCATGCTCTGTTTGCGCTTTGCATTTTGCATGCTGATTATCGACGATGGCCTAATGGCACGTTCCATGTTACAGGCCGGTGGACAAATGGACGCACATCGAATCGAATCGAAATGCCATCAACGTCAACGGACATTGTGCAGTCAGAAAAACGGACCAATGTCCGGTGTAGACTATTTTTGGTGATGCTTGGCTTGAACTCTAGCATTTGATAGTTGGAAGAAAAGTACTTCTAGGAATTTTATGATGTATTGTTTCCAGCTTTTATAAAAAAAAAATCTAATAAATAGAAATATCCCCTTGCATTCCGTTGCATTGGACACCTTACGTTCGCCTGAACAAACATAACAGCAAGTGTGTCAAGTGGCCAGCTGTACGCAATTTTCCAGCACGACCTTGAGGGCAGTTTCCACGAATGAATGGCTTCTACTCACCGCCGGATGACTCTTGAGGGCTCGTGTGTGCGTCAGACTCCGCCTGGAGCGGGCGTGGGGCAGGGTCCGGTGCTTGAAGTGATACTCGTGTCCATCGGCGCCGACCAGCTGTAAAGATTCCAGAATGCAGAGCAACATTTCATTAGACCCCGTGGCATTTTAATTGAGGAAAACACATTAATTCTGTGCTTGTTTTACGCCTAGAAGCGTGACCCGTAATTGGTCTCTAATTGAGTTTCCCCAGCCCTGTGTCAGAGTGCGTGTGCGTGAGTCCATAATTGTGCTCTAAATTGCCAGTCATAATCATCATCTGAAGGAGCAGATTCCCCCAGCAGTGGCAGCAGCAGCAACTCCAGCATCATCATCATTAGTTGGCTTTGGTAAATTGAGTGCATGGAGCCGGGGGGCCAGGACAGAGCCAGTAATTTTCCGTTTTGGCCTGCTGCAATTTCAGTGAAAGGCATCTCGAGTTTCCCTAACGATACGTGCCAGGCCCCCGGGCCAAACCCACTTTCACTTGGCCGGCTACAGGCTAAAGGCAAGTTGCAAAGGCTTGCCCTTGGGAAAAATTCACTATTTTAGGCATACACAGAGAGAATCTGGCTTACACATGCTAATACTTCTACTAATTATAATTTCAAATATTTCCATTACAATAAAAGTCTTCCTAGTTCATAGTCTCAAGGAAACCTAAGTATATTAACTTTCATTTTATAGTTTCCTTCTATTTTCCCATACTTTCCCTCAGTGTATCTCTTCCTGCAACATGTTGCTCATCTCTTGGCCCTGTCGAAGGCTCAAGTGGCAGCCGGACAGCTGCTGGGCGTCGTTTAACTTTGGCCTTTTGGGCGAACGGAACAACGTCTGGCGTCCTGCATAATTCAGGCTTACATCGTGATTAATTAGCAGCTGTGCGGCGTTGAGTGGCGCTGCTATCAATTCATAATTCGTGCAAATTCGCCTCAATAAAGGCGGCATTAATGGCGCCCTGGGATGACAATAGCCATCAATTTCCGGGCAAACTGAAACCGGACTTTGGAATCTATTTTTAAAACCATCAGCGTCGTCGCTCATTAACCGAACAGACCGCAAAATTATGCAGATGGAGCCAAGGAAGGCTTCACCACGTGGATAATTGCCTAAGCCAAGCGACAAAAGGCTCCTGTCGGAGTTCCGTCAACGTGAGCTTATGCAAAACGCAGCCCACGCAGCCCTTTTAAGGATTCTCTCGCCTGCCGCGCTACATTAAATATGAATAAGGATATTTTGGGCCAGCAAATTGAGGCGCAACGATGGATGCCTTTATGTCGCGGCCGCTGTCTGTAAATTTTCACTTTGGCCGCAAGTAAATAAGGGTCAGCGGACAGGTTGCAAGAGTAATGGAATTTTCTTTGATCAACCAACAAGGTTGAATTCTCAAAGTGTTGAATAATTTTCCAGTAAAATGAAGGAGAAAACCATGCCTTCCTGGCGCCACACAAAGTATTCGCCGAGTTCTTGGTAATTTTTCTATTTGGGAATGTGCACACAAAAATATGAATGAATGTTCAATGAATTTCTGAATTTCTAAACATTTTTCAGATTATATACCCCCTAAAATTACTCAACTCTCCCACTGTCTGACGACAGCGCCAAGTTAATTTCTAATAAATTCAATCCGACTCCCAGCTTTGCCTTTCGATTATGTAAACAAAAATCTCAGCCCTCTAGCGTTTTTGTTCTCCGTGTATTATCTTTCATAAATATTTCGGAAATTGCGCGGAAGAAATTCGGCTTTCATTTACTGGCGGCGTTTCGTCACAAATTGATAAATTCCTCGCCAGCCACGTCAGCCAACCGCCAGCCAGTCAATAGAGGGGCCAGCCCCGCGGCAGTCGGGGGCTAAAAGGACACCACTTGCTGGTTTACTTAGGCGCCAAGTGCCGCGCATAAGTAAGCAGACACAGGACACGAGGAGGCAAAGAGGCAACGCTCGAGGGCCATCAATCCGTTGACTGCTGTCAATCACAGTTCTGTGACAGCCTGACAATGCCAAGAAGGGCAAGGAAATTCAGCTATTTTTATGCGCTGTTAATTTGTGTGTAAATTATCCAATGGGTACTGCAACAGCTGGCCAGCTAGCCTGGGTTCGCCGCCCTAATGGACTTACCAAGTAACAGCGAAAAAACAATGAACGCGAAAGTATGCTATAGATAACGATAGCATTGCGTATACGCACAGTGGGCGCTCTTCAACTCTCAGCACACACAAACAAACGGGAATTAACTAATCTGGCCGAGACCACATGCCGCCAAATTGCTTGCATATTTTTAGATGTACCCCGCATAATTTGCGGATTTTTCTTCATGAAGCCAACATATGGAGCTGGCAGCAGGGAATAAGCGAAAGTAACAGTAAAAACAAAAAGCCAGGGCCACGAATAATAAGAGCAACCAAGCGGGGCGCTCTAATGTAGCAATATAGCTGTCATTGTGTCTGTCCGAGGACGTGTGTGAGTGAGCGAGTGTGTGTGTGGCCGCCATTATAAATATAATGTGTCACAATGGGTGTGATAACGGCAGCCAGTACGGGCTAAAATAAAGTAGGGATAGCAGCAGAAGCCGCACAGAAACAGACACTGCGTCGTGGCAAGTGGCAGCTGTTCGGCCGACTCCCACTTTTGTTTCAGTGTATGTGTGTGAGTTATTTCAAGCTCAACGACGAGGCGCCCACACGCTTTTCGCTAAAAGTTGGCCAAAACCAAAGCCAAAGCCAAAGTTTGTGTGCTGTTCTGTGTGGCCAAAATGTTGTCTATAATTAGTTGACTTGCGCATTTAAAAAGCAAATTTTATTAATGAGCCAAGAGGCAAGAAGCCATTGACATCTTTGCCACTTGTTGCTGGAAACTTTGACGTCCTTATAGGGTGCCAGGACACAGGCCTTGGTCAACAGCTGTTCTGTTACATCACTGGGAATAGATCTCGCCCAGCGCCCTGCCCTGACACGTCATCTTTCATGGCACGTCAGCATCAGAGAATTTATGGTCATCCCTGGAAAGGTGAATAAAAAACCCGCAGAAAATAAAAAGCGAAAATATCAGCAGTAGCAGCTGTGCTGCCCCTCGATAGTGGGACGTAGCCTGGGTATATTTATGCAGCAGATATCTTGCAGTGGCAGTGGCAGTGGCAGTGTCAGCAAAAATAGCACACAACAATGGACGGTCCTCTGTGTGTCCCGAGCACACATTGTGGGCTTTACTTTTTTAATACAGCAGCTCTTTGTTTACCTTAATCGAATTCTTGCAGCAAAAGTTCAACAAGTTTAACAAATCGGCTTTAAATTGCTTTAGACAGGTCAGTTATATGCTGGTATAATATTTGCAATCCTTCAGAGAAATTGCCTGTTATGTTTGACCTCATTTCAAGTTATTTTTGGGCAACTATTTTGGTAGGAAAAATTGTACAGCCCACGCCATAAATTGTTTATGTGCATGCATTAGCATTATTTAGTAAGAAATTGCTGGACGCTGTTTAGATTTTATGCATTGAATGTGTTTTTAAAATCATTTAGCTTTATGCTTCAGTTTTGTTGTGACGTCAAATGACATGATTGGGAAAATAGAAAAGCATTGAAAGTTATTTATACATATAAACATTAACAGATTTAAGTAATTATCAATCAGCAGAATGCAAATTAAAGCTTATAACTGAATCAAAAAAGCATGAATTTCAATTTAATTTAAATTTTAATTTTCGATAAGCTGTTTGTTTGTTTTTTAATTGTTCCTTTCCTGATATCTATACTATAAGCTGCTATTAAATTCGTTTTAAAATATGCTGCTTTTGTTTTTAAATGTATCCCCGTCGCTAGATACACTTCTATCCCTTTATTTTGCATAAACATTAATCTCAATTTCCCCTCCCAATCCATCTTCCAACTAGGAAACAAAGCTTTTTGAAATAAAACTAACCACAATTCAAACAAAAGACATTACGCAATCGTCGCCTTTCATTTATTTTTCGCATATTGAAGGCTGCAAGGGAAAACCATTCATCAATTTGCCCGCTAAGTTAGTCAATGGCCCGGTTTAGTTCTAGCATTAACCGACGTCAGCAGCAGCCGTTTATCAAGGGCAGGTCACCGCACAGTCAGCCAGTTTATCAGTAGCAGCTTTATAGTAGCTGGCCAATTTTCCTACTGGCATAAGCCGTCAATAACTACTGCCATGCACACAATATAGATAGCCGCCGCGTTACAATGTGATAAATGTGTTCACGTTCCGTCGCCTCGCGCAGTGCAGCGGCGTTAATTAGGAAAAATGGCCTCGCCTTCCACCCGCGGCCGTGCAATTAATCAATCAATCAATCAATAACCACTGCAGGCAGGCGCTATAGTGTTTGCATAAATTATCGCAACAAGCGAAAATCACTTGTGCAGGCTGCTGAAATGCCATTCAGGCGATAGCAATCAGATGTGGCTCGGAATGAAAAGTATTTTTCTCCCTCCATCAAGGGGAATGACACTTTTATTCAATTCAAAAAGAACGACAAAAAAACCGAAAACAAATATAAGCCACGTCTGTCTCTTCGGGGCAAAACAATGCAAATAAGCGTGTTTAGATTGACAGCTTGGCGATCCGCACAAATCCAGTCGTCAATAAATGGCATGCAAATTTGCAGAGCCTTAAAATTAGAAGAGCGCGATGGCGGTGGCGTGGCTCCGTGGCAGGTGGCAAATTGGAGAAACGAAATGCAAATGAGTGGGGCTCCTGAATAATTCAGCAGGATGCTGCAAAGACAAACAGCTGCGCACATCGCCACTAATAAGCCTTGATTGAGGCTCTTGGCATGTGCCAGTGCTTGTACCATTTGATTTGCTGGCCAACTGAATGCAAAAGTTGAATAAAAGTTGGTCGACTCAAAAGCAAATTGAATTAGAGTTCATACTGCAGGAAGCTGTGACATTTGCAACCAGTCTCTGTGAAAGTTGCAACTGTCATTTCCGGCATTACACTTAACTTAATCCTGCGTGGGTCCACAGCTCACATTTTAATTGAGTTCTTGGGAACGTACTTGTGTTGAAATGGCTTTCTGTTCTCCGCCATAAGAAAGCTTAAATGAATCGCAAAC